TGTCTTTGCTTAGAGGACCCCTTTCAATATTTCCTGTAGGGCTCATTTCGTATTTGCAAATTCTTTTAGTTTTTGTTTGTCCTGGAAGCTTTTTATCTCTCCTTCTATTTTCAATGCAGTCTAGCCAGATATAGTATTCTTGGCTGCATGTTTTTCTCATTTAGTGCTCTGAATATATCATGCCAGTTCTTTCTGGCCTGCCAGGTCTCTGTGGATAGGTCTGTTGCCAATCTAATGTTTCTACCATTGTAGGTTACAGATCTCTTGTCCTGAGCTGCTTTCAGGATTTTCTCTTTGTCTCTGAGACCCATAAGTTTTACTATTAGATGTTGGGGTGTTGACCTATTTTTATTGATTTTGAGGGGGGTTCTCTGTGCCTCCTGGATTTTGATGCCTGTTTCCTTCCCCAAATTAGGGAAGTTCTCTGCTGTAATTTGCTCCAATATACCTTCTGCCCCTCTCTCTCTTTCTTCTTCTCCTGGGATCCCAATTATTCTCATATTGTTTCATCTTATGGTATCACTTATCTCTCAAATTCTGCCCTCGTGATCTAGTAGTTGTTTGTCTCTCTTTTCCTTAGCTTCTTTATTCTCCATCATTTGGTTTTCTATATCACTAATTCTCTCTTCTGCCTCATTTATCCTAGCAGTTATACTCTCCATTTTTGATTGCACCTCATTAATAGCTTTTTGATTTCACCTTAGTTAGATTTTAGTTCTTTTATTTCTCCAGAAAGGGTTTCCCTAGTATCTTCCATACTTTTCTCAAACCCAGCTAGTATCTTCATAATTGTCATTCTAAACTCTAGTTCCGACTTCTTACGAATGTCCATATTGATTAGGTCGCTGACAGTCGGTACTGCATCTTGTTCTTTTTTTTGAGGTGAGTTTTTCCGTCCTGTCATTTTGTCCAGAGGAGAATAGATGAATGAGAGAACAAAATGCTAACAGGGTAAGAACATCCCCAGGAAAATATACACTAAACAAATCAGAAGAGACCTTCCAGAAAGTGGTCACTTTTCTGTTCAGAGTTGCTGCTATTGTTTTCTTTGATCTCTTGTTGATTTTGTATGTGTTCAGAATGGTTTGATACCTTTCCAGCTGAATTCCTGGGACCAGACGAAATTTAGTTCTCCTACTCCTCAGCCATCTTGCTCCTCCCCTCTCATCTTCAATTTCTTTCATCAGTGTTTTATAGTTTTCAGAGTACAAGTTTTTCACCTCTTTGGTTAGGTTTGTTCCTAGGTATTTTATTATTTTGGGTATAAGTGTAAATGGGATTTTTTTCTTAATTCCTCATTCTGCTGCTTCATTATTAGTTTATAGAAATGCAACAGATTTCTGTACATTGATTTTGTATCCTGCGAATTTACTGAATTTGTATATTGGTTCTAGCAATTTTTTGGTGAAGTCTTTCAGGTTTTCTATATATAATATCATGTCATCTGCAAATAATGAACATTTTACTTCTTCCTTAACGATTTGGATGCTTTTTATTTCTTCCTGTTGTCTGACTGTTGTGGCTCGGACTTCCTGTACCATGTCAAATATAAGTGGTGAGAGTGGATATCCTTGTCTTGTTCCTGACCTTAGGGCAAAAGCTCTGTTTTCCCCATTGGGTATGATATTAGCTGTGGGTTTTTAGTTGATGGCCTTCATTATGTTGAGGTATGTTCCTTCTAAACCTAATTTGTTCAGGATTTTTATCATGAGTGGATGTTGTACTTTGTCAAATGCTTTTTCTATGTCTATTGAAATGATCATATGGTTTTTATCTTTTCTCTTACTGATGTGAAATATCATGTTGTTTAATTTTTGAATTTTGAACCACCTTTGCAACTGAGGAATAAATCCTACTTGATTGTGGTGAATGATTTTTTTTCAGTGTATTGTTGAATTCAGTTTGCTAGCTTCATGAAGTTTCTTTATGGGCGAATAAGCATTTAGGTATGTTAATAACCAGCTCTTTGTCACTTCAGGCATTTATTTTACTACTTCTTTCCATGACCTTCCTTTACTCCTTGTTACAGACCTTGAGACTTCAGATATAGGAACCATTTCTAGATTCTAAAGGTGGTTAAGGTTCCTGAAGCCCGAGGGAAGTTTAAATTAACTTTTTTTTTTTTTTGCTTGTTTTAATTTTTTTTTGAATTATAGTTGACATGCAATATGATATTAGTTTCAGGTGTACATCATTTTGATTTGACAATTGTATACAGTAGGCAGTGCTTATAAGTGTAGTTATCATCTGTCATCATACAATGTTATTACAGTATTATTGACAATATTTTCTGTGCTGTAGTTTTCATCTCTGTGACTTATTTTTTTTATAACCAGCAATTTGTACCTCTTTTATCCCCTTCACCTATATTACCCATTCCCCTTACTCTCTTCTTCCCTGGCAACCACCAGTTTGTTCTCTGTATTTGTGAGTATTTCTGTTTTTCTGTTTCGTTTTTTAGATTTTACATATAAGTGAAATCATATGGCATTTGTCTTTTGCTGTCTGACTTATTTCAGTTAGCATAATTCCCTAGGTCCATCCACTGTTGCTAATGGCAAGATTTCATTCTTTATGGGTGAGTATAATATTCCATTATGTGTATATACATATATGTGTGTACATATATATTACATCTTATTTATTCATGCATCTCTTCATGGACACTTAGATTTCTTCCATATCTTGGCTATTGCATATATTTTTTTGAATTAGTGTTTTTGTTTTCTTTGGGTAAATACCCAGAAGTGGAATTACTGGGTTTTATGGAATTTCTATTTTTATTTATGTTTTATTTTTTTAAAGGATTTGTATTTGTTTCTTTTTTTTTAAAGATTTTATTTATTTTTTGACAGAGAGAGAGACAGCAAAAGAGGAAACACATGCAGTGGGAGTGGGAGAGAGAGTAGCAGGCTTTCTGCGGAGCAGGGAGCCTGATGCGGGGCTTGATCCCAGGACCCTGAGATCGAGCCGAAGGCAGATGCTTAATGACTGAGCCACCCAGGTGCCCCATATTTTTATTCTTTTGAGGAACTTCCATGCCATTTTCCACAGTGGCTATACTAATTTACATTCACACCAACAGTGCAGGATGGTTCCCTTTTTTCCACATCCTCAGCAATACTTATCATCTCTTGTGTTTTTAATACTAGCCATCCTGACTTGCGTAAGGTGTTATCTCATTGTGGTTTTGATTTTTATTTCCCTGATTATAAGTGATTTTGAACACATTTTCATGAGTCTGTTTGCCATCTGTATGTCTTCTCTGGGATAATATCTATTCCAGCCATCTGCCCATTTTTAAATTGGATTATTTGGGTTTTTTTGGTGTTGAGTTTTATAAGTTCTTTGTATAATTTGGATATTAACCCCTCATTGCACATATCATTTCCAAATACCTCCTCCCATTCAGTAGGTTGCTTTTTCATTTTGTTGATGGTTTCCTTCACTGTACAAAAGCTTTTTAGTTTGATATAATCAAATAGTTTATTTTTACTTTTGTTTCCCTTGCCTGGGGAGACATAACCTGAAAAATATTGCTAAGGTTGATGTCAAAGAGATTAGTGCCTATGTTTTCTTGTAGGAGTTTTATGGCTTCAAGCCTCACATTTAGATCTTTAATCCATTTTGAGTTTATTTTTGTGTATGGTGTAAGAGAGTGGTCCAGTTTCATTCTTTTGCATGTAGCTGTCCTATTTTCCCAGCACCATTTATTGAAGAGACTGTCTTTTCCTCATATGTTCTTGCTTCCTTTGTGGAAGATTAATTGAGTGTATAAGCATGGGTTTATTTCTGGGCTATTTTTTCCATTGATCTATGTGTCTAGTTTTTGCCAGTACCATACTCTTTTGATTCTTATAGCTTTGTAGTTTATCTTGAAATCTGGAACTGGGATACCTCCAGGTTTGTTCTTCTCAAGATTGCTTTGGTTCTTGGGGGTCTTTTCAACAACTGTTTTTGAATAGCAAAGCATTTATTTCTCTCTTATTGTCTAACTCTCATAAAGACTGTCATTCAGTTAAAGTTATCTTACTGTAACCATTGAGGACTTGTTGAAAACAGGGAGAAATATTAAATTTCATTTGACCATATGACTAATAGATTCATACTTGAGTTAATTATTGAGGGTAAGAATCTTAATGATTGATAAAATCTGTTGAGTATTGAGGTAGACCAAGGTGAGAAGATATGAATAATTGTACATTTTGTTTTTATGGAAAAATATGGTGGGTGAAAGGAAGAGCATGAACTCAGATGAGCGATCATGAGATATAAAGTAGATGTACTTCGTTTATGGATTGGCTTCTCTCTATCAATTTTCCATTGATGGTTCTTGCATAAGCTCTGAGATGTTAAAAAAGTAATGTGTTTTAACAAAAGGATTTATGATTATATATATATATATTTTTTTTTTTCTAATTTTTGTCACAGCCATTTGAAAGTAACTACCTCTTAGGAAACACTAATCAGATTCAGATCTAGTCCCATGTGTAACTCTAGAACTCTCCATTTTTTTTTTTAAGATTTTATTTATTTTTTAACAGCGAGAGACACAGAGGGAACACAAGCAGGGAGAGTGGGAGAGGGAGAAGCATGCTTCCCGCTGAGCAGGGAGCCCGAAGTGGGGCTCGATCCCAGGACCCTGGGATCATGACCTGAGCTGAAGGCAGATGCTTAACGACTGAGCCACCCAGGCGCCCCACTCTAGAACTCTCCAAATTGTTTACTTGACTAATTCCTGAAGGGTAGTTTTAGAGTAGGCACCATTGTATGGCAGTGACCTTAGGAATTTTCTCTAATTAGGTTAGGAAGAAAATTAGATCTTATTCTAGTTCTATATGTCATAATGTCTTGCCATGTAAGAGGATATGAGGAATAGGACTAGAACCTACCTTCTTTACCATTCTGTGCTTAGCCGCTAGCATAGGAGACACTCAATAAAGACTGATTGAATCAATGCATATATATATAAATATTGACATAACTTGCTTATCTTGTAGGACGATTTTCACAAAGATTCCAAGGTATAACTATGTGGATCCTGATTTCGCATATACTAAATCTGAAAAAATTGAAAAGCAAGCACATAAAAATTATTATGCAAGATACATTAAACATTTAAGAAGTGTGCGCCTGCGGAAACAAGCAGAGAGGTAAAGGTCACCTCCTCAAACAGTATGAAACGGATCGTGGTGCCTGCAGAGTCAGATTTTTTTTTTCTTTACTCCTTAGTTTCTTTTTAGTGGTTTAAGTGACCTTTTCATATATGAAAATAACGAAAGCTTGAACTCCTTTAACTGCAGTTATTTCCTTCTTTCCTTTTGGTTCGGGAATGTCTTAACATTGTTTTGTTTCCCCAGAAGCAGTTCTTGAGGTGGGTTCCAACACAGTGCTCTTTTAGGAGAAACAAGATGAGGGAAGCAGGATAGGGCAGGGGAGGGAACGGAGAAATGATGTGTTTCAGGTAAGGCTTACACTCAGCCTGATGCCTAGGGTCTCTTGAAGCATAAATTATGCCACGTAGATGTTCCTGCGTTGAGCCAAAGGGGTTTGTCTTTTTTTTTTTTTTCTTTTAAAGGGGCTCCTTTGTGCTCTCTGTCAGCCGTTGATTGTGAACTGTCCTTGGTTGTGGTGGGGTGGGCCTGACTTCCTTGGCTTAGGTCTTTGAGAATGGGGTCTTCTCAGCAGAAGGTAATTTTCTGCAGATTAGCGCATCATTCTTCCTAAGTGGTTCTGAGTGTGTCAGCAGCAGCATGAGCTATGGGGAATGTTGGGATTTGCCAGTGTATTTTCTAAAACCCTTGGCCTCAATTAGTTGTTATTGTGATTTCAATAGGGAATGCATGGATTCATATAATGATACAGACATAGGATTACAGCCAGCGTCAGGTCTAAAGTCACCTTCACTTTCAGAAACGGAAATAGAGGAGGAATTATATTCAGCAAAGTGTCTGATCAAACCTAACCAATTACTAAATACCAGAAATATAGAATCCAAGGAGACGAAGGCTCTGAGAAGAAAGGCATGTGCAATATTTTACATTCCATTAAGTCATGAGAATTCTTAAAATATCTTTTGCTAATATTGAAAATTAATCTTGGAGTAACATTTTTCCACAGGTTCTCAAAGGACTTAAATCGGAGCCATCCACGCCCCATGAAAAACATGATTGCAGCTTAATTTTGACACCAAAGCAAATTCATCAAGTAATTGTTGGTAAGAATCTATAAAAAGCTATTAAAGCCTTTGTTTTTTTTTTAACAGGTTTATTGGAGCATAATTTATATTCCATAAAATAGACCTGTTTAAAGTATGCAAGTCAGTGAATTTTAGTAAGTTTATGGGATTATGCAACCATCATCATAATTCAATTTTAGAATGCTGCCATCACCCTCAGGACCATATGTACTTACTCCCAAATCCCACCCCTAGCCCCAGGCAACTGTTAATCAATTTTCTCTCACTGTGGATTTGCCTCTTCTGAACATTTCATATTAAAGGAATCGTACAATATGTAGTCTTTCATATATTGCAGCTTTTACTTAGCATAACGATTTTGAGGTTCATCCAATAGGTATAAATAGGTATAAATATTTTCTTCCTTTTTATGTCTAAATAGCATTTCATTTTATGGGAGTACCACATTTTGTTTATCCATTTACCAGTTGATGGACACGAGCTGTTTTCAGTTTGAGGCTATTGTGAATAATGTTGCTATAAATGTTCGCATATAATTCTTTGAGTGAACATATGTTTTCATTTCTTTTGGTTAGATTCCTAGGAGTGGAATTGCTGAGTTGTATGGTAAATTCCTATCCAACATTTCAAGAAACTGCCAAAAACTTTCCAAAGTGCACCAAGTTACAGTCCCACCAACAGTGCACGAGGGTTACGATTACTCCACATTCTCACCAGCAGATGTTATTTTCTGTCTTTCCCGATTATAGCCGTCCTGGTGGTGTGAAATGTTCTCACTGTGGTTTTGATTTGCATTTTCCTCGTGACTAAGATGTAGAATGTATTTTCATGCATTTAAATTGACATAGATGTATATCTCCTTTGGAGGAGTGTCTTTCAAATTCTTAGCCCAATTTTTAATTTGAACATTTGCCTTCTTATTGCAGAGTTGTAAGTATTGTTTATATATTCTGGATACAAGTCCTTTATCAGATATATGATTTCCAACGTCTGTGGCTTGTTTTTGTTTTTTAGTTTTTAAATAATGTTGTTTAAAGCACAGAAGTTTTTACTTTAAGTGAAATTGAATTTATCGTTTTTTTAAAAAATTTTATTATAATTTTTTTCTTTTATAGCTCATGCTTTTGATTTCATACCCAAGAAATCTGTAGCTAACTCAGTGTCACAAATATTTTCCTTTGTTTTCTTCTAAAATGTTTATAATTTTCAATCTTACATTTAGTACTACAATTCCATTTGGGTTAATTTTTATGTATGTTGTGAGTTAAGAGTCTAAATTCATATTGTTGTATGTGGCTGTTCAATTGTAGCATCATTTGTTGAATATACTATAATTCCTCATTGAATTAATTGCCTTAGCACCCTTGTTGAAAATCAATCAACCATATATATCAGGCTTTATTTCTGGAGTCTCAGTTCTGTTCCGTTGATCTGTATGTCTATCCTTATGACAGTTCTACACTGTCTTTGATACTGTGCCTTTAGAGTAAGTTTTGAAATCGGTTAAGTTTAAATCCTCCAAATGTGCTCCTTTTTCAAGATTGCTTTTGGTTATTATGGATATAAATCAGATTTTATTAAGACCCACTTTGTCTTGCTTCTGGATCTCTTGCTTGCCCCAATCAGTATTGAAACCTCAGGTTATGATGTTGACATTCTCTGAATGTTTGCCATTGAGATAATTATTTTGACAACATCCCTAGGCATGAGTTAAGGAGCAAGTGACAGGGGTGCCTGGGTGACTGTCGGTTAAGTGTCTGCCTTCGGCTTGGGTCATGATCCTGGAGTTTGAGATTGAGCCCCGCATTGGGCCCCCTGCTCAGCGGGGAGTCTGCTTCTCCCTCTCCTCCTTCCCTGCTCGTTGTCTCTTGCTCTCTCTCTCAAATAAATAAATAAAATCTTAAAAAAAAAAAAAAGAAACAAGTGACAGTTCCCTTGCAGAGGTGTTAAACAGTATCCCTCCCTAGGTCATTTTCACTATTAAAAGATGATTATGGTTAAAGAAATAGTAGTCTATACTAGTCTGCAGAGGAAGTTTGTATTTCATTCTAGGCAGGATTAGGGTGGCCCTGAGGAAGATGTGGGCAGAAGATGATTAATTGGTATGGATGTGCTGATTCTCCCTCTAGGGAGAACTCAGGGCACAAAACACCAAATACCAGTTCTTTTGTTATCCAGACTAAAGGTGCAAGGTCAGAGGCAACACAATGGAAAGTGCTTAAATATCTGGGTGGTGATGGCTTACTCTGGCTAGTCAGTGGCCAAGTCTCAGATCAGTGAGGACTGTGGGAAATGCCCAAAACAGGATCTGGCTTCTGGGGAAAGCGGGTGACATGGACTGGCAAAAAGAGTTGGAATCTCCCACCATTCACTGAGGTTCTGAATGGGAAATAGGACTCTGTGCTGTAAGAGCACTGGAGCTAAACCTCCCTGCCACACAGTGACAGTGAGGCCCTTGGGCATGGCAGACTGGGAACTCATTAGTTCATTGGCTGTCTGGAGTTGTGGATGCAGTTTGTTTCAGGTTAAATGTCATTTACTGTGCCTCTCTTTTGTGCCAGGCATGTGATAGGTACTGGGCTTTATAATCCCAGGGACTTATTTTCATCATTGGGTGTTACATGCTTTGTGTCTTCCAAATTGGTGAGTTATTAATCAGATAAGCAAATCTATATAAATTCAAAAGGAGCAAAGTTAGAAGGCAATGTCCAGAGTCTCTTCTACAACTCCTCCACCAGCTTCTCTCCCTTCTTCACCTGGTGTCCTGAGTATTTTAATAATGACCCTTTCTCTGGGGATGGGGTCCCTGTGTGAGTTTATAAGGTCAGCAACTGCGATGGTGGGAATTTTGTATCACCCTCATTTTTATACCTTGAAGGTGTTTTTTGAGCCTCTGCACAGAACAGGGACGGGCACAGTCAATGGAGATTACAATTTCAGAAAATTTTGCTCTGTATTTATATTTTAGAAAAGTGAAGTGGGGACCCCTGGGTGGCTCAGTCCGTTCAGCATCTGACTCTTGATTTCGGCTCAGGTTATGATCTCAGGGTTGTGAGATCGAGCACCATGTCGGGCTCCAATGCTGGGCTTGGAGCATGCTTCAGATTCTCTCTCTCCCTCTCTCTCTTTCTCCCGCTTCCTCTCTCTCTTTCTCTCTCTCTCTCTTTCAAAAAAAAATAAGTGATTGTCAAGAGACACAGTAGAGGATTTAGAGATTAATTGAATCCGTTAGTGAAAACTGTTGTAGAGGGGCACCTGGGTGGCTCAGTTGGTTGGGCAGCTGCCTTTGGCTTGGGTCATGATCTCTGGGTTCTGGGATCAAGTCCTACATCAGGCTCCCTGCTCACTGGGGAGTCTGCTTCTGTCTCTGCCTCTGCTCTCCCCCTCCTTGTGCTCTCATGCTCGGGCATGTGTGATCTCTCTCTCTCAAATAAATAAAATCTTAAAAAGAAAGAAAACTGTTACAGAGTCTGGGTTACATTGGATGTTGTGCAGAGAGTATTGTTTACTTCATCAGCAAATGTCGAGTCACTTTGGTTTTAAGTTACCACTTATTGATATATAAGCCCGACATTGTATTGAACAATGTATAAACATGATCTTATTTAATCCTTCAAATGATGTAAGCAACTTATAAGGTAATTGCTTTTACTTCCATTTTAGAGATGAGTAAAATGAAGCCCAAAGAGGTGATAAACCTTAATCAAATTGCTCAGTATTTAGTGGAAAGGAGCGGATTTGAAATTAGGTTTCTCTAGCCACACTTTTTAAATTAAAATAATTAATTAATTAATTTAGAGAGCTTGGGCGGGGGGAGGGGCAGAGGGTGAAGAAGAGAGAGAATCTCAAGCCAACTCCGCACTGAGCATGGAGCCCGACTGGGGGCTTGATCTCACGACCCTGAGATCATGACCTGGATTGAAACCAAGAGTCAGACACTTGACCTACTGAGCCACCCAGGCACCCCTCTACACACACTTTCTCAATTTCTCTTTCTATTCCTCTTTCACAACCTGTATTTTTCTCTACAGTATTTGTCTCAGCTTCTTCCGCAACTTCCTTTATGTCTACTTCACAGTATTGTTAAATCAGAATCTAGAATTCTGTATCTGTTTTCATAAAACATATTAGTCTGCATTTTTGCTTTTTTAAAGTTTGTTTTTACTATCTTTGTTTTGGCATTTAGAGTAATGTTGGCCTCATAAACTGAGTTCAGAGACTTAGAAAATGTTCATTCCTTTACTATATTCTGAAAGAGATTATGTTGAATTGTTTTCCAAATGTTAAGAGTTCTTCACAGTAACCATATGGGAAAGGAGAGTTCATTTTCAGAGGATGTTTTATTACAAATTCAATTTCTTTAATAGTTGTAGGACCATTCAGATAATCTATGCCATTTTAGGAGAGTTTTGGTAGTTTGTGGTTTTTCTGGAATTGATCCCCTCCATAAAGATATCCCATTTATGTGCATAGAATTGTTTGTAGCATTCCCAAATTATCCCTTTATTGTCTAGGTTAGAAACATCTGTAGTGATATAGCCTCTCTTCTTCTTAATATTGAGAATTTACGATTTTCTTGTTATTTTGCTTTCTCAGTCTCAGTGGAGGTTTATCAACTTTATTGGTCATTTCAAAGAACCAGCGTTTGGTTTCATTGATTTTCTCTATAGTTTTTGTGTTTTTAATTTTAATGGCTTCTTATCTTATATTTGTCATTTCCTTCTATTTGCTTTGGATTTTTATTTGGATTGCTCTTTTTTTTTCTAATTTCTTGAGGTAGAAGCTTAAATTATTGATTTATACCCTTTTTTTCCTTTAAAGATTTTATTTATTTATTTGAGACAGTGACAGAGATAGTGGGAAAGAGGGAGAAGCAGGCTCCCCACTGAGCAGGGAACCTGATGCAGGGCTCTTCCCAGGACCCTGGGATCATGACCTGAGCCAAAGGCAGACGCTTAACTGACTGAGCCACCCAGGTGCCCCTACCCTTTTTTTTTTCTAGTATAATCATGTAGTGT